CAGGGCCCATCTCAAGTTCTCTTATCCTAGAAGGGCTCCCCTAGATTAGAGTAGGACTGAGAGGCCAAAGGCATGAAGAAACTGGGGCTGAAATTCATAGTAGAACATCTGTCTATAGGAAACTGTATTTTTTTGTTGGAGGTTCCCTTAGCAGCATTTCTGGTGCCTTCCCCAGAAGCCAGCTTGATTTGCCATTGCCAGCTGACTGCCCTGACATGTAGAATTGCTGGATTAACAAATCAAAGGATACCCAGTTACTTTTGGCTTTTGGATAAAATGATGGGCTTTTAAAAAATGTATGTTCCATCCAGAATTTAGGACACACATATTAAACAATAATTCAGTTTATCTGGAAGACCAATTCAATTGTGCATTTAATCTGGCAGCCCTGCTTTGTCTGGACATAATATTTCAGAGAAGGTTGGGGGCTTTGGGGATGACCCATACAGTGGCCTTAGCACAGGAGAAGCTCTTAACCTGCTGTGGTTGGCAACTCTTGAGACACCTGCTCAAAGTGTAGAGTTTGGGTAGTTCTCCAGCACTAGTGAAGGCTAACCAAACTGTCTTGGGTTCCTGAAGATGTACCCAGCTTTCACAGTGAAAGACCTTCATCCTAGGAAATGTTTTTCTTGCTGGAAAATTGATGGCTGGTGATGGTTTTAAACTTAGAGGAGGTGGAGTCTTTGGAAAGCAACAAATGGATTGTGAAACTAACTGTTCAGTGAGACCCAAGACATTTCAGTCTTTCTACCTAGAACATTTCCTAATTGCTGTTTTAGAGACAGGCAAGTTTGGGGGAATCTCTAGAAGTCCTAGATCCGAAAAGTGTTGTGCCAGAGATCACTAAATTTCAGCCTCTGCTTGTTGTTTGTGAAGCATTTCCAGAGTGTCAATCTTCTCACCTGGTTATTATTACTTTTGCTTTTGTACCACAGCAAAGGCAATGTACTAAGAATGTCATGTTCGTTATATAAATCCTGATGGTCCCTGTGCCCTAGAATAATACCAATAGAAAGAAGATCAACTGTGAAATCTGAAATTAGTAACCACATCAGCTCACCAGAGGCTCAGTCATTGCCTAATGTCATAGAGCTAGCCCTAGCAGGTCTGACTAACCAAATCTATGCTTGTTTCGAAGGAAGGAAGCTGGACTTTGGGCTTGTATCTAGTGACAGGTACTGAACCAAGGGCATTGCTATGCTTGACAAACACTTGATCGCTGTGCTCCATCTTCAGCTCCTCAATCTATGTTTTAAATCACTACCCTCTATACTCATATTGATCCCTGACAATGTGAAGGACCACATAATGGCTAACTAAAATCTTGAATGCTACCATTCATTTTCTCAGTTACCATGGAGAGAGGATGACTACTAGAAAACCAACAAAAGTCAGTTTCTCCAAGCGCAGTTTTCAGGGAAAGATCCAGTCCCCCTAAAGCTACCACCAGCCATCTCTCTGTTGTCCCTTTTCTGAAAATTTTAGATCAAACCACTTCTAACTCCAAGATGGGTTTCTTTAGGCTTAGGTGTGGTGCCTCTTTCTAAGGTCAAGACCTTAGAGGGATCTCTAAAGCAGTGTGCTGAGTGGACTATTTCTAGGGGCAGGCTACAATGGTAGACCCAGTAAAAGTACATCCTGGCGAGAGTTTTCTTGTCATTCTAATGGTTGAGCTTCAGGCATGCAAGAGAGGCTGCTGGGGACCACTGCCATTGTACTCTTTGAAGTTCTTCCAAAAATGCTTGATTCGGTCTATGGAAATGATTGTGATGCCTTCAAAATTCTGAAAGATTTTAAAGGGTAACCCGAGGAGCAGGTAAGGCCCTCTTTGGGGGGGTCCTCCAAAAGCAACACTTCTTACATTCTGCATTTTTTGACATTTGCACTTTTAAAACAAAAGCATTTTCCCTTGAGAGCCAGGGTGCACACAATGTCACAAGTTAGGCCACGATTTGGCTCCAGGAGCCAGGGCCCCTCATCTTACTCCTAGTTTCACAGAGGCAACCCAGCAGCAGTGAAGTCCTTTCAGTAGTTGGAGAGTGGGAGAGCTCAACACAGGCGAAAGCCTGCCCCATCCTACCTAGACACAGAGGAGTGTCAGCTTCTAGTCTGTCACTTAGGCCCAGGCTTCTGGGCAAAGCAGCTGCTTGGGCATGGCTTAGCTGGGACAAGAGAGGGAGATAGGAAAGCAAGGATTCTCTGCGGGGGCCCACTTGCCCTAAGCTGCAGCAACATGACATGCACTTACCTGAGGCATTTAGCTCTCAGCAGGGAGAACTAAAGCTTCCCCTGCTTCTTCATTCTGGCCATTGGCCTAGTTTCCTAGGAAAGGTACATTAGCTTCAAGGTTAGACAGTCTGCTCTAGCACCCCAACTATAAGTTGCAGTGTCACAGCTCAGAAGACCCTTCAGCTGGCTATACAGCTAGATGTTTGGCCTTGTGCCTCTCAGAAAAAGGCCCAGCAAATTTTATTATTGCTTTTTTTGTACCAGAAGGTGTTGACTCATCTCTGTAAAGACTGCCCAGGGCTGTGGCATCAAGAAGAGGTCTAGGCAGCTGCTAGAGCTGGTCCCTCGAGGGACAGATGCAGCCTTCAGTGCTGGCAGAACCTATAGGGAGGCAGAAAAGCTTTGTGCCTCTGGCAGGCTCCCTCCTGGGTGCAGGGTTTCTTAGATAGAATGGGCACATGTTTTCTCCCACAGAAAGCAAAGCTGGGACAGCCACTCCTGCCCTAACCAGCTGTGCCCTAAGAGGGTTTCCTGGGGGCTCCCACTTGCCATAGCATCCTCATATACTGTGTATCAGAACAGAACAGAAGGCAGGAGGGATATCAACTGGGACAGTGGAGGGCCAACCTAACCACCTGCAATCAGTGGAAGAGACCTGAATGACCTATGTACTGTTGTGTGAAGTTTTCTGATGAAAATTTCAATAAAGTAGGCATGAAATGCACATAATTATCAACCATAGCCATGCTAAAGAGCATAGTTTAAAAGGCTTCTCTTAAGCTCCAGGTTTCTACCCCTTTCTGCATCCTTCCAGAAGCAGACATCCCCATTGGGAATGATTTCCTCTTTGTTTCTGGCGTAGTTTGAATTTTAACTGTAACCATGCTTCTTTTTCTGACTTCATTTTAGTCATACACAAAGCAGAGAAAAATAATAAGATGGACCTCCATGTTTTCATGCAGTTGTAACAATTATCAAAATTTGCCGGGCATTGGTGGCACATGCCTTTAATCCCAGCACTCGGGAGGCAGAGGCAGGCAGATCTCTGTGAGTTCGAGGCCAGCCTGGTCTCTAGAGCAAGTGCCAGGATAGGCTCCAAAAGAAACCCTGTCTCGAAAAACAAAAACAAAAAATACCAATTATCAAAATTTGGCTGATGTTATTTCATTAAGTCCTGCTACTGAATATTTTCTGGAGTGGGCAAGCTCGAGGATTGTGATATTAGGCCATGAAGGTGTCTAAAATAAAGACTCTTTAAAAAGTATCCCTAAGGCTGGGCCTGTAACTTAGTGGTGTTTGCCCGGGATGCTGAGGCTCTTGAGTTGGATCTCCAGCAACATACACACTCACAGTCAGTTCTGGTGTTATGATCACACCTAACAAGCACACCAGCAGTCTTTTCTGTCATGTGGTCTCTTCTGACTCCCACTTCTTTCAAATCCAACAACAGATATAAAAACCACTGCATTTTCAACATTCTCTTTGTACTTCGCTTTGAGGACTGTGAAGGGTTAGAAACATGGGCCATAGCAACCAGAAGCCTGCCCATCCTCCCGCTGACTGTTCTTGTTCAGGAAAGAGACTCTGTATTCAAACATTCTTTCGGAGCAGAACAATTGTCCCAGAAAGTTCCAAGCAGTGAATCTGAATAGAGGTGTCTTCTAAAGGTAGTTTTGCCTTCTACCTATGAGGTGGCTCTAGGAAAGCTGCTTCTGTGTACCCCATTACTGAAATGGGGAAAAAATGTGTTCCTTAGAGTTAGGTGTGTATTACTAACCACTGAAATAATTTTAATTCTGCTGCTGTTAGAACTTACACATATGCATCTTCTCTATGGGGGCTACCCTACTAAAGATGGCTAAGCTTTTAGGATTGTGTGGACAGCTGGTTTTTCCACACTGCTGCTGGCTATCTGCCATTCTTTGGGTGCTACTTTTCTGAGTTTTTATCTGAATATTTTGATTTCTAAATTACTTCTTTACTCTATCCCAAGCTATTAGCATCTCTCCCTAACAAATACACACCCAATTTACCAGTGCCTCCTGTCCATCCTTTCATTGCTCTTTGAATTACCAGAAAAAGAGCAGCACCCTCCACATGCCCCCCCCCACACACACACATACACACACCCTGCACGATCAAAGAGTGTGACATCTCTGGCACTCAGCCCTCAGTTTTCTTGGCCAGAAAGGCATGGCCAAACCAATCCGCACAAAGTTGGGTGTGGAAAGTTCTGTCTGCAAGTACACATGACTTGATACGTTGCCTGCCATTCTGCCAGTCTTTTGTGCCAGGACTGGGAAAACAGCCTGTAAAAAGTGGCCACTGACCTTCCATATTTGGCCTATAATGACATGGTCATAGGTAGGACAAGAAAAGCCTCAGCTCTAGATTCTCAGCTGCTACCAGTTGAGCCCAGGAACTCACTGTTTCCTTTTTCATCTTCTAAGTGGACCTGGAGAAGTATATCACCAGATCAGGCATTTGTGTACTTATCTAGTTTTCATGGGAAAAGTCATTGGACTTCACTGAATGCCCTAGCTCAGTGGAGCAAATTAAATTTGCCTTCTGGCCTCAAGCATCTGGTAATTTGGGATGATAAGGGAGAGAACAGACGGAATATCCAAATATTTTATAGTTAACTGAAGACAGTCACACAACTAAACCGAGCTGTGATCAAGGATGGCCCGATTCTCTGGTGGCACTACAAGAACTGCATGAAACACAGTGTTTACTAGTTTAACACAATCCTGCTTTGTTCTTCCTCACAGGTTCCCAAAGCAGGCTGTGGACTGCAACCATGAAGGCTGCTGGTGCCCTCTGGAGGAAATTTTGGGCATTACAGAAGCCAATCTTGGAATGGAGAACATTTTGTTCAGCTCTCTTAAGAGACCCAGTAAAAGCAGAATCACAGAAATAGGTAGGGTGGATGGAATTTATGGGGTCAGGAGCTTCTTTAAGACCTTAAATAAATCCTATAAGGATTGTAGGAAGGACTTGAAACAAGAATGCAGAGGGAGTGTGCAGGCAGACTGTCAGATCTGAGGGAACTGGGAAACTTAGGGCACTGGGGAAAGTGTGACATAATCACCTGGCTGAGTGCCTTTCCTAGGCATTGGCATAAGAGCAAGGCAGAAACAGGAAGATCTGCCCCATCAATGAGGAGAGAGGGATGGAAGGAGGTAGAGAGGAAGGGACAAGACAAAGACCAGAGATGGAATAAATTATAAGACAGTAGAGATGGTGGAAAGGAGAAAAGAAAAGGGGCCTCATGGGGAACATGGTAGATAAGTTGGTGTCTGTGAGTTCACTAGGAAATTACTTTCTTCTGAGCAGTATAGTCAGTACCAGAGATGTCTGAGTCATTTTCCCCTGTAGACAGATCTGCCTTGGCCATTTAGGCTATGGAGGCTCTTCTTTCCTCATGCCCTACATCAGAATGCCCAAAGTTTAGTGTCTTTTCTTTTTGCCATCATGCCTCTCCTCCAGGACCGTTAATATAAGTTAATATAACTGAACTTGCATGGCAGGTACAGTCTATGTCTGGAGGGCATGCCTGGGAAAGCATGGGCTTAAGACCCTCAGCAATCAGTCATCGCCTTACTCTGCTCTGCCCTGGGAAGCTACTACTTTTCTGTTCTGCAAGAGGCATATACAAGGGGCTTGTATAGGAGCAAAAGATTTGGTCTAGAGCCAGTGTTGTATACTGTACAGTTCTGGACTCCAGTGTAACCAGGCAGAAAATTGGAAAAGTGTAACCACAAAAGAAGTTCATAATACACAATATTTGTTCTCTTCCTCCACAGAAAATTTTAGGTTCTGTTTGGTTTACTCCCTCTGTTGTCTCTTATTTCAAGACAAAACCATGGGACAAGTTCAAGAGAACATACCTTAATTCTGAGGAGTATAGAGATGACGGCAGTCACTGCTCTTGTAGACCAAGGACTTGCCTTAGGTGCATTCAGTAGACTCTTGCTTCTAGGTCAATAGGATTATGACTGTCTGAGGCTTCTGAACTGAGAGAGAAGATTGACAAAGATCCCACATCAGCACGTAACATTCACCTGTTCTAGAAAGTTATAGAAAACTTCCCCTAGATAATATCACCTTTTATATTTGGCACCCAGGTGCCTTCACAGACTTCAGAAATCACTCTTACCAGTATAGATGTTTCATATATTATTCCTCTTGTTACTTCTTAACCATTTTTAATATAGAATTTCCTCTGAGACAAGGACTATA